ACTGCTATTCTCTCTCAAGAGAAATATTGGATATTTTATTTTCCAAACATATTTACCATCGATTCTAATTGTGATGCTTTCCTGGGTTTCCTTTTGGATCAATCACGAGGTCTGACAACACATGTTATAAATAATTGCATTTTAAGCCATCTAAAGATTTTGTCTTTTTTTATTCAAATAAAATCAAATATTTATATATATTGTGATTATTTTGAACCAAAATATCTATATATAAATAATCGTTTATTTTATTGTCAAAATGTAAGGCGACGTCAGCGAGGGTTGCATTAGGTATAACGACTGTCCTAACCATGACAACCATCAGTACTGGTGTCAGGTCTTCATTGCCAAGAATTTCTTACGTCAAAGCTATTGACATCTATTTAGTGATGTGTTTTGTGTTTGTTTTCGCCGCACTTCTGGAGTACGCGGCCGTCAATTACACGTATTGGGGCGCCAGAGCTAAGAAGAAACCCAAACCAGACAAAAGTGATCCCTCGGGAGGCGCTATCTCTCCCTGCGCTGGCAAACAGACAGACAACGTATACACCGTAAGTGACATCCATGTAATGGATCCGTTTGTTTTGCAACGATATAATGAATGACAAATGCATTTGTGTTGTCCGTACAGAACGACGAGATCATAGAATTGCATGACATCCGGATGTCTCCGATTCCGTGTCTCCGGAATCGACACAACAAGATGTGCAGCACAAGCGATAGTGACCTACGATTCCCTCCATCGCTGCGAATGTCAAATCCGGTTCACCGCATGTCGTACTCGCCCGCGAGGGCCGGCGTCTACGGACCCAATCGGTCGCGTTATGGCCGAAGTGATCCTTACAATAGGGCTAAACCGCGAATGTTTCAGTCTATAAGACGTCCCTTCAAAGTGTCGATCCCTAAGATTAGAGACGTGAACAAAATTGATAAATACTCGCGAATCATATTTCCCGTCTCTTTCATGATATTCAACGCGTTTTATTGGACAATATATACTCTCTGAACACCGTTTCACTCAAACACTCAATTTGTCAGCACTTCTTCTCCACCACATCACCACTCAATGCAAACATCCAATGATAGACTCAATTCATTAAATCTATACTCAATTATAATTTATAAATAACATAAAAACTATATATTATTAACATTATAACATAGAGTATATAAATCTCAAGACACAACAGCTTTGGTTTCATCGCAGCTCTCATTTATTGAAAATAATATTTCAAAAAATGCTTACATTTTAGGAATTTTCTAATGAAGTCATTGAAATATACGAAAAGTGCTAATCATTTCATAAGAGAGACTCTAAGAGTAACTCTAGAGGACAGACATTTAACATGTATTTGAAAACCAGACTTTAATTGACTACAAGTGTATCGCATCATCATATTTGTCAACATTTGTTAGGAGACATATAATTAAATTGTTTTTATTTTATATTTCATTGGATATAATATTTGAAATTGACTTTTAAGTGGATTTTTGTCGTAAAGATTAACTAATCTTATTATTATACAGAGATAACCACTTAAGGCATGTCTTCCGAAATATGGAGGTATGGATGAGATAATGGTTTGCGTCAATACAGTGGTGTTGTTTTTGCTATAAATAAATGATATGTTAATTGAATCAGGATTTGATATAAAGGCTCTCATCTAATCATTTATTTCATATTCAAATCAATTGATTCAAAACTCAATAAAAGACTCAAATAATTTGTTGCTCTAAGTTATTAAATACATAATCATTATTCCCGTGTTTGTCGTCCAATGGTTTAATTTGTTTAAGTGGTTATCCCTGTATAGTGTATATAAAGTTAATACATTTATTATTTTACATTTCAAAGTTAGAGTCAATCAATATTGTAAAACCATATACAATATACACATTAATGTATTATTAAAAGTTTTAATTATTTGTTTTTGTAAATATCAATTAAATGATCTCAAATTTTATTTAAAGTTAATAAAATAAATTAATTAAATATATTAATAGTTTCAATTATTTTATTCATTTTATTTATTAATTCATTATTTAAATATTTGTCCATTAAATATTATAATTATGATAAGTTATTAGGAATCCTCAATAAAAACTATTATTTGATTGATTAAAAAATATATGGCAAAAGTTTCTAACAATGAAAATATACTTAACTTTTACTATTACTTAATTAAAATAAAAGACAAATAGAAATCAAACCTAAGAATAGATTAAGTAATTAGTAGTAAACAAATAAAACTCAACTCAATTTAACACTTGAAATAAATGCTCTCATAATTAGGTTTAATTGCATTTACAGTATAATAAAAGGCATTTAAAGTAGAAATAATTACACAAAGATTTCAAATGTTTATCGAATAGATAATGAGTTTTAGATACTGTATATTGACTATAATAATGACAATAATAATAATACGATTTTGATTGTGATCCTTGAACTCCATAATATACATGTATCTATTAATTTCGACGATTAGGTTATCATAACTGCTATTTAATGAGTAGTTTTTAAAACTATTATTGTGTCGAAGACAACAAAATGCTTTCCTAGAAAGTCATTACCTTTTTTGTATTCAATTTTTATAAATAATAGTATTCATGACATGATATATCAACTAATTTATTGGTGAATCAAAATAATATCCAATCGTAAAAATGAAACATTTGAATTGTTTCCAACTTTTAATTTATCATTTTCTATATTTTTGCCTTTTTTGTTGCTTTTTTAAAGGTTTGTGAATATAATAAGAAAGTCATTGAAATGAATTCAAGTATTACTTTCACTTGTAATTAAAATACAAATATAAACTTGTGTTTAACTATAGTTTTAAACGCTTTGCCATCATTTGGTCGGACATGCGATGAGCTCTGGACGAGTCATAATATACGCAAATCCGGTAATTATGTGATAGATGTGGACAAATCTTCGGGTAGTTTATCGCCATTCAGTGTGGAGTGCGATATGGGATCGGGTGATGACATATATGCCGTCAAAACCATTGTTCACCACAATTCAGAAACCGTTGAATCGGTTCGCGGATACGAAGCCCCGGGTTCTTACGTACGGAATATCACTTACGGCACAGACATTGCCAAAGACATGCAAATTGAAGCGCTTATTGATATGTCGTTTTCGTGTCAACAATACATCCGATGGGACTGTAAGGGAGCGATGTTTGGCTTTTGGTACGCCCGGGATATTGACAACTGGTGGGTGGGAAGGGGTTGGAAGAATCAATACTATTGGGGCGGCGCTGAGACCGACTCAAAAAGTTGCGGCTGTTTTCCCTACTGTTACCTCACGGTCCGCAACTCCACCTGCAATTGTGACGCTAACCTTAAACTTCAATGGCTCGAGGATTCTGGTCTGTTGTTGGACAGGAGTAGACTACCAGTGCTTCAGCTCAGGTTTGGTGACACTGGCGAGTCTTACGAAGCGGGTCAGTACACGTTGGGTCCATTGATATGCAGAGCCCGCGGACACAAACTCGTCCAAATGGGTTCATTCAAAGCTCCCGTTACTATTGAATCTCCTGGTTATCCCAATGTCTATCCGCCGGCGTTTCACCGCTATGTATGGCATATAAACATAGCTGAGGGACAGATCATTGAATTAGTGTTTCCCTATTACGATGTCATACACTACGGGGCCTATAATTCAGTGCCCAACTGTCGGTCTGTCGTCGATATTGATATCAAAAACTCGAGCGGAGTTATAATAGGAAGTGTTAAACGAGAAAAGGCTTCTCCGCCTTATTTCATATCGGATGGAAAAGCGATGACAATAGACATGACATTCACCACTTGTAACCAACAAAAAGAAGTGGAAAAGAAAGGTATCGTTGAAAAAGAAAATACCTTTTTGTTGAAAACTTAATGTATATATTAGTGTAACAATGAATTTAGGATTTGTGGCTGAATTCCGGAAGACTGCGTGCGGAGGATGTAATGTAGGCTTCGGTGAGAACGCGAGTGTCACTCACTGTCACGTAAAGCCCAACCAATGTATTACTATCTCGTCGTTTGGATATCCGTTTCCTCATTATATTTACGATAAATTCGGTGAGAAATACAGCCATTCGTGGAATCTGTCGACTCTTGACGAGCATATCATTCAAATTGAATTCAATGACTTCGACATTATCTTCACTCCTGGTATACATTACTGTAACGCAGACTTGTTATCAGTATTTGACGTACAATTAAATGAGACAATAAAAACGGCCACTTATTGTAATATAAATAAGTTTAATATCGGAAAACTCCAGTCAAATAACAGTCAAGTGATACTGGAATTGAATACAACGTTGAAAAAAGTTGGAAACAGCAGAGGATTTCACGCAACGGTTAGAGCTCTGCCGAAGACCAATACACTTAACAAATGGATCAATAATATAGCCGAAGGGAAGTCTGCGGACCAGAGCTCTACCAGAAGCGGATTGGAAGCGGCTCTGGCTGTGGACGGAAATGTGGAGAGAAAACAGCACACGAAGTGTACGGCCACTAACTATGAACGCGAGCCGTGGTGGAGGGTTAACCTCCAGAAGCGACATCGCATATATGGAGTACAGATCAATACAGCCGATGTCACCGCACAGACCGAACACCTCCAGTGGCCGACCGGACAGTACGGCCTACCGATGCCAGTGTCGGGCTGTCCCTCAGCTGTGGACTCTCGATGGCAAACAGGCTATCGGTTCCATGACGTGCGTCACGAGCCCGTACAGGACGACCGGTTCAGGTATTGGTCGCAGGGAATTATGCTTAAGGGCGGCGCCACTGATGGCGGCATTGTTCAGCACTTTTGCGTCAGAAATGGTAAACCCAACGAGAAGTCTGTTCCCAATGCAAACAACTTCGGATGGATGCCCGGCAAGTACTGTATCTTTCAAGTGTCCGACTCGTGTCCCGAAGGATTCACTTCCGGTTCAATCGCGTGGTTTGATAAAAGCAACGCCACTCTGCCCTCAGAGAGTAGAAATCACGTCAACGGTTCCCTTCCTAAAGGTTTATATTTATATAAATTTGGTTAAAATTTGGTAAAATTTATTTTGCTATTATTTTAGGTATTTATACGAAACAAAACACAACTATATTTTATTGTTGTCGAGAAGACGGCAATCCAGACGTATCCATAAAACTGCCGAAAGACCGACCGTTTTATCTCTTACAATACGGCGATGAATGTCAGAAAGTGGAGGGAATGCTAGAAATTGAGCACTTCTTCCATTACGAAGAAGAAGTACAGCTCTCGGGAATCA